CTGGTGCCTTGCTTCTCCATCTTCCCATCCAGCCCCCCCCATTTCAGTTGGAAGCAGAGGCGCTCCGCAGTCTGCTCCGCACTGCCGGCTTGGGAGATACTGTCCCCAGCTGTGCAGGGCGCTTGCAGTGCTGCCTCAAAGGGCTCCCAGTTGTGAGGGTGACAGCGGTTGTCAGTGAAGGACCATGCATCAGGTACCAGTGCCTCTAGCATGGCAGGGCTGTCCTGGCTCCCTTTGAACTCAGGGTGAGCAGGCAGGGCTCCCTGAGCAGATGTCCCCAGGAACTGGGAGCCCTTTGAGGCAGCACTGCAAGCGCCCTGCACAGCTGGGGACAGTATCTCCCAAGCCGGCAGTGCGGAGCAGACTGCGGAGCGCCTCTGCTTCCAACTGAAATCAGTGGAGCTGCTGTGGGTGAGCCCTCCATAATCTGGACCTTTAGGAGTATAAAAATATCCCCACTGTGTCAGACCAAAGGTCCATCAAGCCCTAGTATTCTATCTGACAGAGACCAGTGCCAGGTGCCCAAGAGGGAAGGAACAGAACTGAGAATCATCAAGTGATTCCACCCATCCCCAATCTCTGACAAAGAGATGCTAGGGGCACCATTCCTACCCTTCCTTGCTAATAGCCGTTGGTGGACCTAACTGCCATGAATTTATTATCTGACTCATTGTCATTTGTCATAGCTCATTTCATTGTTGCTGCCTTAGGTAGGAGCAACCTGACTTCTTCAGTGTGGGTAGTATGTGACTGAGTGGTTTTCAGACTTTGAAATCTAGTCTTCACAGTGGCAGTTTAATTCTGTTTCACGCTGCTTCAATGACACATGACTTCTGCATCCCGTCAAACCAGCTCTATAGCCCCTGAGAGCTGTGGTATTCTACTATATATTTGAGAGCACTTGTGTGTTAGTCTGTCTGTGAGACTGTTTGTTCAAGTATTGCTCCTAAACATTAAGAACTAGAACCACTAAATTTGGTAGGTAGCTTCCTCTTATCATGATTTAAGCAAAGTAAGCGTTTGGTTGTGCCAGGACAATGGGATGTGCCTGGAATATGATTTTTTTCTTATAAAACAGAAACAGGCGGATCTGCTAGCAAGCAATTATGCTGTATAGTGACCACAGGGGGACAGCCAGAGACCAGAGAAGGGGACCAGGATAGCTATAACCCCATATGGGCAGCGGGGATGGAGAAAGGACAGCTACTATATATTTGAATGAGTTTGTCTGCTTGTGTGTCTGTCTCCCAGTCAAGGGACATGCACCCTCCACTAGCTGTGCCTGCTGTACCCAGGGATAAGTGCTTCTCACCTGGTCTAAAGCTGCTGCGGTTATAGGGGGCTAGGGTAGCCCCCTCTCCTCAGGGCAGCCTGCATACTGAAGAAAAAACAGTTATTTGAGTTAAGGACCTAAGCAATGCCACTTAAATTCTTCTAGTCAGAAATATTTGACAGATTGGAACCCATCTTTTGACTGCCTAAGGCATTGACTTCACCAGTTCCTGAGATTACTGGTGATTATGTTGTAAGTGAAGTTTGGGTTAAGGAGATAAAAAGAATAGTAAGAAGTAGGTGATTTTTAGGATCTGATATGTAATGGTTCACCAGTCCTAGAAATCCTTTGCCAGACCAGTACAGGTAGTTTTGGGACCAGTAAGCTTTTCCCAGTGCTGGTCCTGGAGTTGTGACCAGAGAAAGGAAATAAATTATGTTTGGGAAAACCTCACATGGACTGAGAATAGACAATATGAAACCTTGTGTTTCGCGAGTTACTTGTTCCACCGAAGTTTATGTATTTGTTGAATAGATAATAGAAATCTGTAGTAGGGCTCACAGTTCCTAGGATACACAAGCTTATGTTGTCAGGCATCTTTTAGCAATAATTATTAGAAAGTGAAGCCAAAATGAGGCATCTTTAAATCCATTTTCAAGCAGAGGAACCGCTTTCCTTGTTGTGGAAAGAGGGTTGGGCTAATAATACACATTATTAGACAGTGCTGTTTGCTGTCAGCATGCACTGTATTAATGTTTTGCATATCTGTGTTGCACTGCTTAAATGCAGACAGTAAGGCAGGAGATTGCTGTATTGTGGGTTGAAGACAGTTTTGCAGTTGCTTTCCACAGCTTTGGCAAATGAGTACTTTGAGGCAAGAGAAGCCTTTCTGCATTCAGAAGTTGTGCTGTCAATATGTGTTGGCATTTAAATCAAGAGATCACTATTTGGCAGGCTGCTGCTCAGAGATTGGTGGTTGCAGTCTGATGCAATCCAGCTGCAATTGGCATAGAGACTGATTCATTAATGCCGCAGATCGGAAGTACTGTGTTGTTCACTGGTTTGCACTCCCTCGTCTCTGGAAACGCAACTTTATATTTGTGAGAAGGACTGGAGGAATTTGCTTTTTGGTTTGTCTGCTGATGTTCCTATCATTTGGAGCACATTGGAAGAATATCATTCAACCTACACAATTTTTAAATTGGTCACCAGTATAAATCTGAGCCTAATTCTTGCCTGAGCAATCTCAAAGCACATCACACATTTGTTAAACTTCTGTGCATAACTGTTACCAGTATATACAAGTGTGAACTAGACTTCAATTAGCTACAGTACTAGAGGAAGGTGACCACCAATGAAGTGCAGGATGGTGCTCTTTAGCAGTGGCCCTCAACCTGTCCAGACTGCTGTACCCCTTTCAGGTGTCTGATTTCTCTTGTGTACCCCAAGTTTCACTTCATTTAAAAACCGCTTGCTTATAAAATCAGACATAAAAATGTCACTGCTCGCTGTTACTGAAAATTTGCTTCCTTATCATAATTTTTACCATATAATTACAAAATAAATCAATTGGATTATAAATATTGTACCTATGCCAGTGTGTCGTTTATCAAGCACGATAAACAAATCATTGTATGAAATGTTAGTTTATGCCGTTTCTCTTGTGTTTTTAGCATAGGCTGTTAAACTAGGCAGATATCTAGATGAGTTGATGTATCCCTGTACCTCAGTGTGCCCCAAAGTGTACACACCCTTTGCTGAGTACAACTTCTCTTAAGCAGCATTTCCTAAATGTGGCTACAGCTATAGATTCCTGAGCTGGAGATATGGGGGGAGGCAAAGTAGCAACAATTCCCTGATGCTCTTGGATGCACTGCCTTGGTTTTGGTTGCTGGGGCCACCAGCAAAGGTTGGTGTCTGCCCCCCTCTGGAGACATGTGGGGACACAACTGATGAGTTCCCCACATTCCCAGGGGTGGTGAGGCTCAAGTTTTGGCCCTCCACCCTAGGGTGGCAGACTGGTGGTGGGGCTTCAGGCTCCAGTCCCCCATTGCCTCCCCCGACCCCCCATTCAGGATTTAATTTGTCCCCAGGGTTGGGAGGGCTGAGTAAGTCTTCTGTGAAAAAATGATACTTGTATGTTTGTTAATATCACTTTTCACGATGGACTTGGACTTGCTAGCAATAAATAAATTACTATGATTTACTCATGTATACATACATATTTATTTGTTTTTCCTAAAGCTAATTACATATTTTAAGGAAAGTGTGAGAGAAGCAAGAGTTGGTGGCTGCACTCTGAGGCCACCAAAAATTATCCTGAGAACCCCTGCTTTAGAATCTAGCAACTGTTCTGATCCTCTTCTCTCTCTTGCACTTAGGTTCCAGCCAAGGTGCAATTCTTGGCTACATTAATATCTGCCTTTAGTTCAGGCCTGGGCAAAATACCCTGCATGGGCTGTATCTGGCCTGCCAAGCCACCAGATTTGGCCCGCAAACACAGAAAGAAGCCCCCAGCAAACTCCCTGCTTGCCTCCTGTATGCTACTGAGAAAAGCAGCCATTGCAGGGCTCTGTTTGAACAGTTGTGAGCCTGGGGGAAGGAGAAGAGGCTTCATGTGCTGCTCCCACTCCCAGCACAATCCCAGATTCGTAGCTGTTCAAAAATCACATAGTGTGTGCAGCCGGGGCAGGGCAGGCAGGGAGTCTGCTTGAGAAGACTGCTCCTGGGAGTCAAGCAGGTAAATCTCCCAGCCAGAGCCTGTTAGGCACCCCAACACTTTGCACACCTACCCCACATAACCCAATCCCTCTGTCCCCCTCCTACTCCCATATCCCCTTTCAGATGCTGCATCCCAGTCCCCTGTCCCAGATCACAACACAATCCCCTGCAACCCTCTCCAGAACCCCAGTCCCCTTTACCAGGTCACAACTCCTTCTTGCCCAAGGTCACAACACAAACCCCTGAACCCTAGTCACCATTACCTCCTTCCCCCAAACTCCCTCCCAGACCCCACACTTTCTCCTGCACCCCAGTCCCTTACTGCAAGCTCCCTTCTGCACCCAGCCTCCATCGCATATCCCACACCTCCTCCATTAATATGGAAGATCATTTGACCACTTTCCAAATTCTTGGAGTGGCCCCTCCATCAAAAATTCATAGAATCATAGAACACTAGAACTGAAACGGACCTCGAGAGTCATCAAGTCCAGTCCCCTGTCCTCATGGCAGGACCCAGTATCATCTAGACCATCCCTGTTAGATGTCTATCTAACCTACTCTTAAATATTTCCAGAGATGGAGATTCCACAACCTCCCTGAGCAACTTATTCCAGTGTTTAACCACCCTGACAGTTAGGAAGTTTTTCCTAACGTCCAACCTAAACCTCCCTTGGGCAGTTTAATCAGTTTCAGCCCATTGCTTCTTGTCCTATCCTCATAGGCCAAGGAGAACAATTTTTCTCCCTCCTCATTGTGACACCCTTTGAGATACCTGAAAACAGCTATCATGTCCCCTCTCAGTCTTCTCCTTTCCAAACTAAACAAGACCAATTCTTTCAGCCTTCCTTCATAGGTCATGTTCTCTAGACCTTTAATCATTCTTGTTGCTCTTCTCTGGACCCTCTCCAATTTCTCCACATCTTTCCTGAAATGTGGTGCCCAGAACTGGACATAATACTCCAACTGAGGCCTAATCAGCACAGAGTAGAGTGGAAGAATGACATCTTGTATCTTGCTCCCAACACACCTATTAATGCATCCCAGAATCATGTTTGCTTTTTTTGCAACAGCATCACACGGTTGACTCATATTTAGCTTGTGGTCCGCTATGACCCCTAGATCCCTTTCTACAGTACTCCTTCCTAGATAATCACTTCCCATTCTGTATGTGAGAGACTGACCGTTCCTTCCTAAGTGGAGTACTTTTTATTTGTCCTTATTAAACTTCATCCTGTTTACCTCAGACCATTTCTCCAGTTGGTCCAGATCATTTTGACTTGTGACCCTATCCTCCAAAGCACTTGCAACTTCGTATCATCTGCAAACTTAATAAGCGTACTCTCAATGCCAATATCTAAATCGTTGATGAAGATATTGAACAGAACCAGTCCCAAAGCAGATCCCTGCAGAACCCCACTTGTTCTGCCCTTCCAGCAGGATTATGAACTGTTAATAACTACTTTCTGAGAACAGTTATCCAGCTAGTTATGCACCCACCTTATAATAGCCCCATCTAAGCTGTATTTGCTTAGTTTATTGATAAAAATATGTGAGACCGTATCAAACGCCTTACTAAAGTCTAGGTTTACCACGTCCACCACTTCTCCCTTATCCACAAGACTCGTTATCCTATCAAAGGAAGCTATCAGATTGGTTTGACAATTATTGTCCTCTGCTCTAGTTAGCAAGTTTCTTATCAGTTTTAAGCCTCCCTCTGTACAGCCCTGGTGGAAAGGGAGTAGATACTTTCTCTTACCCAGGAGGCTGTGGAGCACAGGGGTAAGATATTGCACGGAGGGAAGGAAGTTCATGTTTAGTGTACTCTTTTCCCAAGTCCCTAGCTAACACCGAGGTAGCTTGGTCTTTGCTGATCTAACAGGCCCCGGATTTTCGTGTTTGAGCTCTACAGTCTGTTGAATACTGGTAGTTCTTGCATCTGCTCTTGCTGCTTCTCGCTTTCCCAGACAGTAGCAGAGGAGGGGAAATGAGTTAGTTCTTGTCTGTTTCACTTGTTTTCCCCAAAGAGCTAAATATCAGTGAAAATAACTAGTCTCTTTCCACTTACACTCTGCAGCTGCTTGGGAAAGCTGAGCAGAGGCCACGGAGCTGTCTCTGGGGGCTCTGGTCCGTGGTAACATTGGAGAGCCTGTCTTAGCTAACATGAGAAACTGGAGAGAGTTCAAATGAAAACTGGCATATTTTCTGGATTCTGGGTGAGGTGGGAGGGGCGCCTCCCTCTCTTGCCATAGGAAGTTTTCTGCTCCGTGCTGACCAGTGAGAAGTAGGAAAGTTAGCAAACATTTGTTTGTGTAAATGTGTAACCGCTGTATTTTTCAGCAGTTACACGCAGGGGGCCCCTCAGCCCCTTCCTGCTGCCTCTGATACAGAGGCAGTAGTAGGGGGGGAGGCAGTTCCACAGGGGCTGGTATGTTCTGGGAGACAGCTTGAAAGCCAGCTGCCAATGGGTACCGTCTCCCAGGTGCAGCAGCACAGGGGGCAGGCAACACTGTGGGAGCCAGCATGCACGGAGAACCTACCTAAACTGGATCTCCGCATGTATCAACTCCTGCCTGCCCCCACCCGCACTAGTACAGAGGCAGCAGCGCAGAGCAGGGGAGTGCAGGCAGCTTGGTGGGAGCTAATATGTGCAGGGAGATGGCTTAAAAGCTAGCTTCCCATGGGCACCAGCTCCCCCCTCCTCCCTCCCCCCTTGCTGCTTCTGATACAGAGGCAGCTGGGGGGAGGGGGCATATATAGCCATTGAGCCCAGGCTTATTGGTTAATCATATAAACACCTACACACTAACATCCGTAGTGTGAAAGGATTGTTTTCAAGTCCTGGCCACTTATCAGCTACAGCATAAAAACATCTTCCTCACTTCAAGGACAAAGTGAACATTTTAGCTTCCCATTTTATCTAAATCATTGCACTGGGCCAGAGGGTGAGTGGAACTTTCCGTAACTGAATTAAGCCCTCCAGGGACTCCTATGAGGTAGCAACTACTGCTTTAGTTTTATAGCTGGGAAAATGGTGTTGCGGGGAGTGGAGGGGCTGACTTGCCCAAGGGCATGCAGTGAGGCTGTGGCAGAGAGGAAAATCTCTCAACTCCTATTCTAGCTGTGATGCCATTCTTTCCCTCCAGTGTTCTTGAGAGCCTGCTCAGAGCAAATTTCTTCTCTCTTCATTTTGCCAACTTTCTGAATAAGGTCTGTAAAGCTAATTGAAGCTAAGAGGGAATGAATTGTGTTTGTGTCTATGATATGTCACATGCAGGGGTCACAACTTACTAACTCAACAGGTTTCTGAATCTGCTCACAAGTGTTTAGTTTCACTATGGAGATCGCTGGTTAATTTTCCTTCCAATGGTTCCTTTCCAGGCAGATTTCGTGCAGATAACTTGAACAAACTGAAGAATCTGTGCAGCAAAACGATAGGTGAGAAAATGAAGGTAAGAGAGATGAGCGCTGTGTTTGTTAGCACTGATATGGTGCTATTTTTAAAGGAGTATAATCGGTCTCATCTTCCTGCTGTTGATGACCTCTGGTAGGAAGGAGTTTGAGAACTTTTCACATGTTGGCTGGACTGCCAAAGCATTGAGCTCGTTAGAAGAATTCACTACCCCGCACAGTCTAGCCATTCTGTGTCATGCTTTGAATCCGCTTCAAAAAATGGAGTTTGAAATCCTTTCCTGGGTCCCCTCTTCCCAGTCCTGACTTCCCAGGTTGCAGCACCTGTAGTGCTTGCAAAATATGTTCTCTGTGTGCTCACTGTTCTTCCTGATTCTTCCCTTTGCAGAAAAAAGAGCCCGTGGGTGACAATGAATCAGTACCAGAATATGCACAAAATCTGGATGGCCTCACTGCTGACATCTTAGCGGTGAGTTTGCTTTCACATGGTGCAGGCGCTCTGAACAGTGACCACTGCATTTTCTTTTATTTCACCATCTTCCAGGCTGAAGTCTGACTATCTGGACTTCTGCAGTCAGAGACTTCCAGCAAAATCAGCCTGTGCTGTGAACCTGTTGGAGCTTGTTAGCTAGGCAGGGTTAGGCTGAGACATCTCTGAGGAACACACCAAATTGCTGTTGATGATTCAGTCTGTACAGAACCATTGTCCCTGCCTGGAGACAAGGAGCATTGTGCTGCCTGAGCTGAAATGTGAATACAGGAAGACTCAAACTGGACTAGTCCCCTGGCTTGTTTGCCAGTTATGGCTTTAGGAAACATTCAAGCAAGAGGTATATTATTGTGCCCAGAACTCAGTAGTATCTGCTATCAGAGCCAGATATTCGCACCAGAGGGGATGTTCAGCGCCTTTCTTAATCTTAAGAATTTGGCAGTGAGTTCCACAGTTTAATCACACACACGAAAAAGTATTTCCTTGGATTAGTGTGGATTTGCCACCTCCCGGTTTCATTGCACATTCCTCTATTCTTGTGTTGAGACGGGGAGAACAGAAGCACCTGATTTCCCTCCTAGACCAGTTGTTAGTTTTACACACTTATGTCCTGGCTCCCTTATTCCTCTCCTTCCTAAGGTAACAACCCCAGTTTCTCCAGTCTCTCTTCAGATACGTTTTATCGTGGCCATTCTCTGAACCCCTTTAATCCTGCAATATCTTTTTTGAGATGGGATGGCCAGAACTGCACAGTTTTCTAAATGAGACATGCTTCGTTTATGTAATGGCATCGCTATATTTCCCTTATGATTCACCGTCTCTCTTCTTTTGTATCTCAATATTTTATTTGCTTTTTGGACTGCATCTGCACAATAAGCAGAGGGTTCCATTGAGTGGGCTTATGGTGGTGCCCAGATCCCTTTTCTGAGTTGATATAGTGAATTTAGAACCCTGTAAGGTTTATGATTCATTCAAATTATTCCATCCAAGTGTCTATCAACATTTAGCTCCATCTGCCTTTTTGATGCTCTTGGGTTCCTCTGAAGTCCTCACAGGATTGGGCTGATCTAAGTAATTGTGTCATCTGTACTTCACTGCTCACTCCATTTCCAGATCACTAATAAATAACATCTGCCATGATGAAAAGTGACTATTTAGTCCTGCCCTGGTTCCTGCCTTTTAGCTGATCCATGACAATATTGTCTCTTGCTCTGTGATGACTTAGCTTCTGTAGTAGTCTTTTGTGAGGGACTTTGTCAAATGCTGTTGAAAGTCTAAATAAATTCTCAGATGAATCTCCTTTATCCAGTATGTAGTCAGCAAAGTTTATTTGATTATTAGTGAAACCTCTGCAAAAAGTCATACTGGTTAGGCAGAGATCACAGTAGTTTTTTACGTACAAAACTTCTTTGGCCCTTCTTATGGGCTAATTTTCCCTGTTTAAGCTGTGCAGTGGTGACATTCTCAGTGATTTTTGTGTAACAGAGTCTTCAGGTAACCCAGATTAAGAAAGTTCGTATTCTCATTGACGAAGCCATCCTGAAGTCCGATGCAGAGCGTGTGAAACTGGAGGCAGAACGCTTTGAAAGCCTCAGAGAAATTGGAAACCTCCTCCACCCCTCTGTGCCCATCAGCAATGATGAGGTAGGAGCTGAATGCATACCTGCTATGTGGATGGTGTCTCTGGCAGGTTTGGGGAAGTGACATACTGTCAGCTTGAAGCAGGCAGACACAACACATCAGAGAGACTGCAGAGGGGCAGTGGGTGAGGTGCCTGCTGAGATCGGGTAGAGAGCAATGGAACCTGCAGTACAAGACAGGGTGTGCTGCAGCAAGGGAGCTCATTGAGCACAAAGATCAGCTCAGACAGTGTGACTCTCCACCATTGTCTGGAGCATACAAGGGAAATGTAGGCAGAGCCAAATGCTTAGGATCTGCCTTGCCCATTGCATTTGCCCAGCAAGAATGCTTAACACCAGGTTGGGCCAGCAGCCAGGTGACATCATAATATGCTGCTGGCAGGATCAGCAGGGGGTTCTGAGCTGTGTATCTTCTTGCCAGGATTTAGTTGCTGTGTCGATTGCTGAGCCAGTCCCAGGGTGAGGGAGTCCCCGGAACAGCTGTGGCAAGTGCTCCGACAAGTCCGTACTTTGTCAGACCTCACTGGGAAAGGGCTGAGGCCTGGCCTTTGTGGGGAAAGAGAGGGAAAAGAACGAGGACCTGCCACTCTTTGCACTCCTTACCTGCACAACACAGTGGGTCCAGGGGTCTGCATGTCGTGCTGGGCCTCACCTCGCTGTGACCGGTGTGAGAGAAGACTTCCAAGGGAGCTCCAGTTTTCTTTCTCTTGCCTTGCATGCAGGATGCGGATAACAGAGTGGAGAGGGTCTGGGGAGACTGCACAGTACGGAAGAAGTATTCCCACGTGGACTTGGTGGTGATGGTGGATGGCTATGAAGGAGAGAAGGGGGCCATAGTAGCTGGAAGCAGAGGGTACTTTTTGAAGGTGAGAGCCCTGAGCCCCACACCTTCTTCCTATGTTCAAGCAACAAGAGGAATGAGACAGAAACCTGCTGCTTTCCTGCCCTTTGTGCTGTACCTCTCACTAATCCTGCAGTGGGCACAAGTGCCTTTCCTGAGGCTGAGTTTGGTTGCTGATGGTGTACTAGGCAGAGGAAGTATTCCTCTTTAGGGAGGGAGCAAGCAAGCCACGTGGTCTGCTTGACCAGTGGAGCTCAGCCTTGTGTTAGCTTTTTAAAGACAGCTGTATGTGCCACCATTGACGGTGGGTGTCGGATGGGGCTAGTGGTGGTATGACTAGTGCTGCATGTCTGATGCTAAGCATGTTTTCAGCTCAAGATGCTCCTTGTCATGGCTCCGCATAAAACATACTGGACCAAGACTTGCAGGGGATGAGCCCAACACCATTGTTTGTCCTCGGGTACCATCAGTTTGGGCTCCTTTTCCTGTTCTCTGTGTTCTGATGATATTTAACTCCTTTGGCTCAGTTCTCTAAGCTGAAATATTGTAGGCGCTTCTGGCCTGGTCATCCGAGGCCACTCAGTACCTCTGGAATCCAGCCTTACAGCTTTCATGTGCCCTGAGAAGCTTGTCTTGTTTCTGTAGGGTGCCCTGGTTTTCCTTGAGCAGGCACTGATCCAGTATGCGCTGCAGACCCTGCTCAGCAAAGGATACACTCCAGTCTACACCCCCTTCTTCATGAGGAAAGAGGTGATGCAAGAGGTGGCTCAGCTCAGTCAGTTTGATGAGGAACTGTACAAGGTAAGCTGCAGGGAAGGACCTGGGCATCTTGCCAGCACACCAGATATGGTTTTCCATTAGCCTTTGCCATGGCAAAGGATCCTATTAGCCTCTGGCTCCTGCTATTCCTGTGGCCCAACTCTGTGTTGCGGAGACAGTCGCATATGCTCACAGGTGTGTGGTCTGCTCTGGTATGCTGACAAAGTGCTGTTCAACTCCCGGTCTCCAGGTTATTGGCAAGGGCAGTGAGAAATCCGATGACAGCTCCATTGATGAGAAGTACCTGATTGCTACCTCTGAACAGCCAATTGCAGCTTTGCACAGGGATGAGTGGCTGAAGCCGGAGGACCTGCCCATCAGATATGCTGGGCTGTCTACCTGCTTCCGACAGGAAGTTGGCTCACACGGCCGTGACACCAGAGGCATCTTCCGAGTGCACCAGTTTGAAAAGGTAAAGGGACGCGCTGCTCACCAGTTAGCGCTGAGATGTTTGCAGGATGCTAGCAGACAAAAATGGGATTGTGGGCTTTTCTTCCAGTTAGAAGGAACTTTAGCAGAGGCGTCTTCAGTGTGTGATCAGGGTTCAACGTTCTCAGCACAAAAGTTATTTGGGAAGCGGCCTCTGGGTGGTGGTGTGATGTGCTGCTGTGGGCAGTAGTTGACTTGTCCCTTGCTGGAGGTGGCTGCACACTGGGAAGTAAAGTTGTTACAGATTTGTAAGACTCGAAGGTCCTTTTGGCTCCTTCGGCGTCTCAGTATAAAATGCTGGCCTGCTATCATTTCCTGTTGCCATCAGTTTGGTACACTGGAATTCCACGAGACAGATACCTGAGAAAACATTCTCTGTTGAAATAATCTTGTCTTTTGGTTCCCATTCTCCGAACCTTGACTCCCCCATTCCTGGGCTTTGTCCCATCTCTGAGTGTCAGCAGACCAAAACATGCAGTCCAGCACTCTATGGGGGTATAGTTGCTTCTGTCTCTCTTCCCCCCAGATTGAGCAGTTTGTCTTCGCTTCGCCTCACGATGACAAGTCATGGGAGATGTTTGATGAGATGATTGCAACTGCAGAGGAGTTCTATCAGTCGCTGGGCATTCCTTACCACATTGTCAATATTGTCTCAGGTACAGAACTCTGCTCTCTTGGGCTCCTCTCCGTAGGGATAATCTGATGGGGCCAGCCTGCTGGTAAAGGACAGAGGCCAAGATGGGAATACAGTGGGCGGGGCAGGGTGTGAGGACTTTCCTGGCTTGGCTTCTGTCCTGTGGGCGAGCTTGGGCAAACCTCTGCCTCTCCTGTGCCGTCAGTCAGACTGGAGGAATTAGGCCCTGGACTCAGCCGCTGCACCATACAGCTAAAGAAGCCCCGTGTTGAGTGTCCCATGGCCCTGCTAGAAGCTGTGGTTGGAAAGGAGCCTAAAGAGATCGCCATGCAGTAACATCTTAGGAACATACACTGCAGTGGTTGTACGCTGGCTCCAGCCCGGCAGCGCCCTGCCTAGCCATGCTCAGCAATCGGCTTCCTCAGGGATCATGGGGGTGGAGAACTCATTTGGGCTCTGTAGGAAATTCTTGACTTCTATTAAGTCTGAAATGACAGGTCCCTTCCTCTAGGGCAGGAACTGCTGTGGCCTGCTAGGAAGATCAGTGTGGGCTACACAGGGAAATCCAGGGGCATGTGGGTGTTAGGCTGAGAGTGTCAGCTTGGTCCATGTGCTACACCCTGGGTCTTCTCTTGTGCTTTCCCCTTGAAGTGATTCTGTGCTGGGTGCTGAGCTAGCATAGAGCAGTGGAGCCCTGATTGGAGAATACGTGTGCCAGGGCCAGTGTCTGGTCTGTCTCCTCCCCGAGCTAGCCAGGGACAAGGTGCTGAAGAGACGCTGTCTTGTCTCTGAGAGGGAAATGCTGTGTTGCGCCTGCATCCTCTTCTGGCTGATGGAGAGGCAAGCTCTAAGTGCCAGCCCCAGAGCCTATGGCGGGCAGGGAAAGGATGCCTTCACTGCCGAAGAACCCCTTAATCTGATGCCTAGGGTGTGGCGTAAAGCAGCCTTAGACAGGAATCTGAGCCTGAAGCCCCTCGCACTGTGCGTGTGAGTGTGAGAGAGATTTGGCTGTCTCTTTAGCTCAGATGGCTGGTTCGCCAGGTGGCTCGGTGACAAAGCCCTGTAGGGTAGATGGGGCCGAGGAAGGTTTGAGAGTTTTTCTGTTGGCACAAGGACACCAGCTCCCTGAGAGAGGCCAGAGACTGCCAGACTATACCAGCGGGGGGGGGGGGGGGCAGGGCACTCACCTCTGCCCCTCACAGCTGCCATCTTTCTGTGCCTCAGTATGGCAGCACGCTGCGTAGGCCAGTGCCTTCTAGACCCGCGTTAGCGCGCTGTGCTCTTACACTCCTATCTCTTAAGGCTGGGCACTTCGGTGCCATGCTGCCTTGGTTATTAGCAGTGGCAGGCAAGTAATCTGGCTGGTCCCCTTGCCAGGCAGCGGCTAAGGACATGTCACTTAGCAGATCCTGCAGGCTGTTGCGCAGTGGTTGGTGCCTGAGGCTCCGTCTCACATTTCACTTATTCAGCCTTCGTTCAGTCCCGGTTAAAACAGACGCCGAGTTCTCTGCACGTTCCTGGTGCTCCGGAGCGGGAAGGGGGGGCCGCGAAAGGGTGTTTGCATCCGGTCTGATCACCTCGTGGCCGGACTTTGGGACTAGCTCCTCCTCCCCTGAGGAATTAATGCTCTAAGCACCACCCAAGAGCATAGGCAGAGAGGGGCTGGAAGAGAATCTGCCCTAGACCTAGGAGAATCCCCATTGCCCAAATATTAGTCTTCGTTGTGCCGCTGTGTCTGGGGGGCGAGGGGCAGGTTAAGGTGCCTGTCACCAGGGTTTCCAGGCCCCAAAACCAGAGCTCAGTAGTTGAGCAGGTAACCTAGCAGGGAGGGCTTTGACTTCTGTCCCTGCAAACTCAGTAATGGGCTGAGGATAGTATGCGGCACATCCTCCCTGCTCCCCTGGGGCTGCTGCCTCGCCCCCCAGCCCAAGTGACTGCTCCTCAATCTCACAGGCTCCCTGAACCATGCTGCCAGTAAGAAGCTGGACCTTGAGGCTTGGTTCCCAGGCTCAGGAGCCTTCCGGGAGCTGGTCTCCTGCTCCAACTGCACAGACTACCAGGCCCGTCGCCTGCGGATCCGCTACGGGCAGACCAAGAAAATGATGGACAAAGTAGGTGGCATTTCAATACCTGCCTTTTCCTGTGTGCGCATCCTGGGGCAGCTGAATCACCATCTCAGAGCAGTTACCTCCTAGGCTTCTGCTGCCCCTGCTCAGTATCTGCCTGGCCAGCTGCTCTTCCCCCCTGGAACTTTCCTCCAGTGCTCTCCCATTCACCGTCAAATGAATGTATTCCTTATGCCATCCTGGGAGAGCCATGCCCTTCCTTCCAAAGAGTAAGATCCTTGCTGAGCAGTGTGCAGCCCTGGTCATTAGCTGCGCCAGGCTCTCTGCTGGCTCCCAGTTAGAGCTGGTCAGAAGATTGGAGGGAGGGGTGTCTTCTGCAGAAAATGTTAATGGAAAACTCTCCTCCCACCCCTTCAGTTTTCACTTTAAATTTCCATGGACAGTTCTGGGTAGATGGGATCAAATGTTCAGCTGTGTGAATCCTTTGGTCCCGCAATGATATCTGGATTTGGAACCGCTGCTGTGGTGCTTCCTGGGAATTGCAGCTCACGTGCCTCTGGGTCCCCGTTTCCGTTCTGCGTTGGGCTCCCTGTTCTGATGCCTTGTGGGAGGAGCAGTCGATCTCCCCTCTGGGGGAGGGCAAGTAGCGCCTTAGCCAGCTGGTGTCCTGCAGGCCTTGGTGAGGGCTCCTCATCCTAGGGTCACTGGCTTTGTCTTTGCAGGTAGAGTTTGTCCACATGCTAAATGCTACCATGTGTGCCACCACTCGCACTATTTGTGCCATCCTGGAGAACTACCAGACGGAGAACGGCATCGTTGTACCGGAAAAGCTGAAGGGTTTCATGCCACCAGGTAAAACTTGGAACCCCCTGTGCATGGCACCCCTCCCCTGTGCTGTGCTCTGACCTGCCTAGCTCTGTGTGCACACGCGCCTGGCAGCACGGGCTGGAGAGAGGATCTAGCAGCAGAGAGGTAGGGCAAGGTGGGATTCTGCCAGTTTTGCTTCCCACGTGACTGCTGCAAGTTCCCAACTAGGGAACCAGCAGGAGGGAGGCTGGGGCTGTGGGGAGTGGAGGAATGAGGCTTCGGGTCAGGACTTTCCTTGGTGAGGTAAATGGGAATGGTCCTCGGGCCTGATCTCGTCCGGGGGAGCCAGAGAGCTCTTGCCGTGGTAACTTGTCTGTATCTCTCGGCAGGGCTGAAGGAAATGATCCCCTTTGTGAAACCTGCTCCTATTGACCAGGAGTCGTCCAAGAAACAGAAGAAGCAGCACGAAGGAAGTAAAAAGAAAGCAGCCGGTGGCGATAGCGTCCTGGAAGGGCGAATGCAGAACATGGGCGTAAACGATGCCTAACCCCAGCTCCTTTGTCCTCCCTGAGCCAGTGAGATCTGATGCCTCAGGGCTGGGGGCTGGTCTCCTGGATCTCAGTCTCAGCTTAGTCACCAGCTGACTGCATGTCCTGGGGAAAATCACTCACCTCTGCTTCATGTCCCCTGCTGGAGCATGGCATGGCACTAACTCCCCTGCCTTGCAGGGTGCCAAGGCTCCGGCACAGGGGAGGTGGCAAGCACTCGCAGGGCCAGCTGTTCTTCTCCCCAGAAGCCATGTCCCTTACATTGTGGTTGTCAGCCTGTGGAAAGGGCTTCTCCAGGCCCCCTAGCCTGATGGGAGGGGCTGATGTCCTGGTTGTGCTGGCAGCAGCCCCTGCTTCTGCACCTGAACCCCCAGGGTGAGGAGATGAGAAGAAAACCCCAGTTCAGCTCCTTTACCCTGGGTGATATTGCTGTACCCAGTCTGTCCACGTGGGTGTGGGATTGTCTGAGTTGATGCAGTACAATAAAGCAATGTGGGGAGACTGCCAGCCTGGCCAGGTTCCTCACCCTGGGCTCTATGGGCTTCCTGATGCTTTGTCCCTGGGGCTTAGAACTGTCCGCTCCAGTTCCCCGGCGGGTAAGTGAACTGAGGTTGCTCAGCAGTGACTTCTCCTTAGCGGGCCTAGCCCACTGCCGAATCCCTGGGCACCTTCAGCTCTCCAGGTTTGTCTGGTTTTAAATGCCAGTGTAGCTGTCAGTGTCTGCCAGCAGGGGGAGCGGTTGCATTACTTGTTGCAGCCTCCAGACCAGTGGTCCCCAACCATTTGAGGTTGCCGGGCACCAGGGGGCGTGGCCATTCACCCGCCGGGCGCCAGAGGGCGGGGACACTTTCATGCCTGGGGGTGGGGCCCCCCCATAGCCATGCGCCTGGGGCCGGCGTCCCCTCCAAGCACCAGGGGCCGGCACTCCCCCCATGCGCCGCGCACCCAGAGCGCAGGCGGCCATTCCGCGGCGCTCCCGGGGCTGGCGCTCACTGTGCGCCATGCACCCGGGGCCGGCTCCAGCCCCACGTATGCGCCACATGCGTGGGGCCAGGTCAGCCCCGAGCACTTGGCGGGCACACACAGATGGCCCCGCGGGCGCCTTGGCGCCCCCAGGCCCTGTGTTGGGGACCACTGCTCCAGCCCATGTCAGGTAACCATGCTGCCTCTGGTGGGGTGTTGAATGCGTCGCAGGCTGAGGCCTTCATGGATGTGGACACTAAAGGGCAACTCCAGCTGGGTCTTCTCTGTGCACAGAGTGGTGCTGTTCACTAATTGCTGCAGTGCTCAGAGGGGAGTGAAGTCACTAATGGATCCCTGCCAGAGCCCACCCGCGGGCCAGGGATAAAAATCAGCCTCCTGTTTTAGCAGCCAGGTGCTGAGCTCTCCCATCCTGGGGCTATGCTGTGCTCCACTCATCCGGCTGAGCTGGGTTCCAGTACTAGTGTCAGCTGGGCCTTGTGGATCGACGTCTCCCCTCTCTACCTTCCAGGCATCCAGCCACCCGTCCTTTGCATCCTGAGCCCTGCGTCCCCACACCACGCACACACCAGCAGCGGGGGAGCCGATGGTGCAGCGCCTGCCTGGACAGCAGGAGACATGACAGTGAAATAAGGGTTGCAGGGCCTGGAACCAGGGCTGCATTGGACCCTCTGTTCAGTATCCAGCGGAAGTGGGGTTCTGTCCCCTGCCTGTTTTGCTGCTTTATGATTGGTGGTAGGAAAGTGCCAGGCTGGAGGTGGTCATATTACTGCACAAACTTCAGCAGGTGCAGTTTCTTCCCTCTGCTTTTACCTTCCGATTGGACGTCCTGGGAGTTTCTGGGCTTGGTGGGGCTAGAGATGTGGAGGCCAAGCTTTTCAGCCCGTAATTGAAGGGGAGATGCATGGAGTTAAAGGGGCTAACACAGACTTTCCTCCAAGTTCCTGGCTGAACTCCAGTGTCTGTCAGCACCTGTCCCTCTGAGCCTCAAGTTTAACCCTCCCCCCACTAAGGATGGTTGATTTCCCCATCCCCCACTACCTGTATCAGAGGCAGCAAAGGAGCGGGGGGGAAGAGAGGGTATTTCAAAGAGGCAGTGCCACACAGAGCCTGTACGCAGGCTGTGTGCGGCCCTTTCCCTTTGAAACACTGCAACACCAAGTGGAGCCCAGGGTCAGCTGCGGACTCCCTAACTGACCCTGGGCTCCCTGTAGCATTTCCACAGAACCCAGAGTCAGCTGGGGAGTCACCAGCTGATCCCGGGCTCCACCCGGCGCTTTTGCCTTTCAAGTGTTCAGCTGGGGAGTCGGGTTCTGGGGAAATGCTGAACTGGAGCCCGGGATCAGTCCCCAGCTGACCCTGGTTCCATGTGGCATTTCAAAGCAGCAGCACAACATGGAGCCCAAGGTCATTGGGGATCTCTTGAGTACCCAGCTGACCCCGGGCTCATTCTGCGCTTCTGCTTTGAAATGCACAGGAGCCCCCTCTGGGGCCTCTTGTACATTTCAAAGCTGGCAACCATGTGCAGCCCAGGGCCAGCAGGACTTCCTGCTAACTGCAGGCTCCATGCGGGTGCTTCCACTTCGAAATGCACAAGAGCCCCTGGGGGTTCTTGTGCGTTTTAAAGGGCAAGTTCCCGCATGGACCCCGGAGTCAGCGGGACTTCCCGCTGGCCCCCAGCTGCACGCAGATTTCCACATTCCTCCTTTGAAATGTACAAGCGGGCGTTTCAAAGGAATGAGGAAGCACCTGTTGACTAAGCGATGGAAATTGCATTGACTACTTGACTAGTAAATTAGTCATCAGTTAATATCCTTAGCCCCCACCGGCTGTAGTCTGATGTTATGAGGATCTAGGTCTTCAGGTGTCCATAGAAACCACCAAGAAAACGACAGGGAGGGAGGGGGGCCAGGAATTCTTTAACAAAACAATTACTGGCCCTCAGATGTTGTATTTTTCCTTTAGAAATGAGGAAAATCCCCATTTTGGGTTTTCCTTGGGGCAGATGGTCTTTAAAGCAGGCCCAGGGGCTGGATCGGCCCCTGGGGCTCAGGGCTCTCCCCCCAGCCTTGGGTAGCTTTAGGTGTGTGAGGGGAATGTAGGGAGGGTCTTTGTTTCGGTCTTCACCGAGAAGTCTGGAGGTGTGCCTAACGTAGTGAATACAAGCAGAGAGAGGGTAAGTTTAGAAGATAGGATACACAAAGAACAAGTTAAAAATCACTTAGGAAAGTTAGATGTCAGCAAGTCACCAGGTCCTGATGAAATGCATCCCAGGATACTCAAGGAGCTGATAGAGGAGGTATCTGAGCCTTTAGCTATGATCTTTGAAAAATCATGGCAGACAGGGGAGATTCCAGAAGACTGGAAAAGGGCAAATATTGTGCCCATCTATAAAAAGGAATAAGAACAACCCAGGAAATTATAGACCGGTCAGTTTAACGTCTGTCCCAGGGAAGATAATGGAGCAGGTAATTAAGGAAATCGTATGCAAACACTTGGAAAGTAATAAAGTGATAGGGAATAGCCAGCATGGGTTTGTGAAGAACAAGTCATGCCAAACTAATCTGATAGCTTTCTTTGATAGGATAACGAGCCTTGTGGATAAGGGAGAAGCGGTGGATGTCATATACCTAGACTTTAGTAAGGCATTTGATACGGTCTCGCATGATATTCTTATTGATAAACTAGGCAAATATAACTTAGATAGGGCCACGATAAGGTGGGTGCATAATTGGCTGGATAACCGTAGTCAGAGAGTTGTTGTTAACGGTTCTAAATCCTGCTGGAAAGGGATAACAAGTGGAGTTCCTCAAGGGTCTGTTTTGGGACCCGTACTATTCAATATCTTCATCAATGATGTAGATATTGGGATAGAGAGTACTCTTATTAAGTTTGCAGATGATACCAAACTGGGTGGGGTTGCAACTTCTTTGGAGGATAGGGACATAATTCAAAATGACCTTAGCAAGTTAGAGAAATGGTCAGAGGTAAACAGGATGAGGTTTAATAAGGAGAAATGCAGAGTGCTCCACTTAGGAAGGAACAATCAGTTCCATACATACAAGATGGGAAGCGACTGTCTAGGAAGGAGCATGGCGGAAAGGGATCTAGGGGTCATAGTGGACCACAAGTTGAATATGAGTCAACAGAGTGATGCTGTTGCAAAAAAAGCAAATATGATTCTAGGTTGTATCAACAGGTGTGTTGTAAGCAAAACTCGTGAAGTCATTCTGCCGCTCTATTCTGCACTAGTTAGGCCTCAGCTGGAGTACTGTGTCCAGTTCTGGGCGCCACATTTCAAGAAAGATGTGGAGAAATTGGAAAGGGTACAGAGAAGAGCGACAAGAATGATTAAAGGTTTAGAGAACATGACCTATGAAGCCAGGCTTCATGAACTGGGCTTGTTTAGTTTGGAAAAAAGAAGATTAAGGGGGGACATGATAGCGGTTTTCAAATATCTAAAAGGGTGTCACAAGGAGGAAGGCGAAAATTTGTTCCTCTTGGTTTCTGAGGACAGGACAAGGAGTAATGGGCTTAAAGTGCAGCAGGGGAGGTTTAGATTGGACATTAGGAAAAAATTCCTAACTGTCAGGGTGGTCAAATATTGGAATAAATTGCCAAGGGAGGTGGTGGAATCTCCCTCTCTGGAGATATTTAAGAACAGGTTAGATAGACATCTGTCAGGGATGGTGTAGACAGAGCTTGATCCTGCCTTGAGGGCGGGGGGCTGGACTCGATGACCTCTCGAGGTCCCTTCCAGTCCTATTATTCTATGATTCTATGATTCTATGCTGCTGAGGGGTGTCATGAGGGTTTGTTTGTTTTGAGGGGGTTGGCATCTCGCATGTGTGAAGCCAACTGATTTTTCTGTGGGTCAGTGGCCCCCGTCCCAGAAAAGGTTCTCTGCCCCTGCTTTAAAGCAACCTGTAAGTGTGCTTCTGATGTGACACCCCCATGCCAGTTAAGTGAGAGCAGGTTGAGTTGGGGCCAAGCAGCTGCCAGGTGTTGACACACACGGCTATTGGCATGCACCGTCTAGTCACAAGCATGCAGGACCTCAGTCCGCTCTGTGGGGCAGGCAGTGTTATCCTATGTCTACAGCACCTCACCTCCTGGGATCCCGGAGCAGTGCTGGGGCTTCTATGCACAGCCAGCTAGCTTCGGGCAGCATCTAGACCCCAGGTGGTGGGGAGACTGGCTGGAGGGCTGGCAGGGATAGTGCCCATCTCAAATCAACTGGGCTAAACCTACTGGCAGCCCTGCCCTAGTTCCAGGTGCTCAGGATCTGCCCTGGGTGGCTGTTCTGACTCTCCAGGTGTCCCTCAAGTGATCAGTCCTTGCACTCTCCCCATGCTTTGGGGGCTGTATTAAATCAGGCAGCTGCAGAACCAGCGTGGCCCATCGGAGTCTTGGTCCAGCTAGTGTGTCCGTCCTGGTCTGGCCGGGGCCTGATGGGCAGAGGAGCCCCCTCACCTCTCTCCCCCCCCCCAGCCACCACTGCCCCAGACCCCCAGCCTATGGCGTCTAGGCCAGATCCTCCAAGGCAAGTTGGTGTC